CTAAAGAGATATTGTAAACTATGAACAAGATACAAGTAAATTTCCTTTATGGGTTATTTATAGAGTGAATAAGAATTTTAAGGGACCTTTTCTTTATATTTAAAGTATGATTTTATAGCTTCAGGTAAGCTATATTTTTAATATGTATTTATTTATGCATATAAGAGCTGGGGTACAGGCCAGAGGTGCAGGTGGGAGGATTCACCAGAGCAGAGTGGGGAGCAGGACGTGCAGATCTACTGAAATACACTGCTGAGGGAAGCTGCAAGGCGAGAGGTCTGCCACACCAGATGGGTCAGCTCGCTGGCAGGATGGAGGATCAAACTTGTGTGGCAGTGGCTGCAGGCAGCTTCATGGTTCGAGCTTTAACCCCTTGCTCCATCAGGGAGGCCCCAAACTGAAGATTCTCTTAACACCATTTGCTGCAAAGAGTCAATAGGCTTTTGAATGCAAGAGAAATGAAGAATACTGAAATCAAGCTCACAGAAATCCCTTAGTTATTCAGTTTGAACAGTATAAATGCTAGTGTAAGAGAACTAGTTCATGACAACTACATCAAAGGCAGTAAGAAGAACATGCTGTTTGAGCAGCATATGCAAAAAATATGTCCAGGATAGTCAACAGCTTCCATAGAGTCATGCTTTACATTACATAATGTTTTAAAATAACTTTGAATAAATAATGTTTGCATTATTTATACAAACATCTACCAACATTAATATTTGTATTAGCTCAACTAAAAACAATATAATTTTTGTCATTAACTCTTAACAGGAGAATGTCTGCAAAAATTTGTTCCTTTCTAAAGCCTTAGCCAGAGGGATTTTATTCAAAATAGCCTTAAAAGAAAGTCTTTTTATAATAAAACTATGCACAAAGGGAAAGTTTTTCTGTGTTGCCATTATTGCATCCATGATGAGGTGTGAAAACATGAGGCATTTAGAACTTTGATAAACACTCCAAGAGTAAACGGAGTTATTACATTTTTAAATTATTGTAGTAAATTTTGTCCTCCCATTTGATATTTTGCTTGCAATTTTGGCATTAGACAGTATTTTTGGTAGTACTACATTCAGAGTTATTTGTGCTGAAGGATTGATGGCAATATACAGTGTGGGAGGCCATTACAACTTCTTAGTTTGTCTTCATCTAAATTTTTCTTAATCAAAAATTTGTTTGGGAGAAAACTCTCTTTGGGAGAGTTGAAGATCACACATTTTTTATATTTAGCTGTTAGTGTATTCTGGTTTGTATCTGACTTCCATCATTTAAAATGTTGAACGAATGCTTGTATACTGCACAAAGAGATTTGAAAGGGCTTTTCCTGCATTTAATAAATGCCTATTGTTCAGAAATTACCTCATGAAATTTACACTTGCTGTTTGGCATTTTGGGTTTCAAATAAACACTAATAAAAAAATAGGTAATACAATTTATTCTCAACAAGGGCCAAAACAATTCAATGGGAAAAGAGCAAACTGTTCAGGAAACGGTACTCAGACAACTGGATGGCGTCATGCAAAAGAATAAAATTGCAGCTCTACACATCAACTACAAATATTAACTTAGTTGATTAAATACCTAAATGTAAAAGCCAAAACTACTAATGTCTTAGTAAAAAATATAGGAGTAAACCCTTGTGACTTTGAAGTAGACAGTGGTTTCTTAGATATGAAACCAAAAACATAAGCAACAAAAGAAAAAAAATTATGTAAGTTGGTCATCATAAAGTTAAAAAATTAATACTACAAAGGACACTATCAGAAATTAAAAAGAGAAAACTTGCAAGTCATATATCTAGATTATATAAAGTACTATTATTGTTACAGGGCAACCCAATTCACATTGGGTCCTTACCTGTGTGCTTAAAGGGACTTATAAGGTTCAACTGCAGGCACACACAAAAAGGTCAATGATTTTTTTTAATAACAGCTTATTTTTACATCATTTTGTGCCTTTTCCTATCTCAGTTATAATCACTGTGGACTTCCCATCACTGATTCACTCATGTGCCATCACCATAGTTCGGTGCACTTCCCCCACCCCCCAATAATGGGTTTATTTACAAGAGAAAGGGAAATGAGTAACTCAGGGAAAGCAGAGTCCATAAAACCTGTATCTATAGTTTGTTTGGGACATCCTTTCCTCTTAACATTTTCACTTAATCATAAAGAAACAGATAACCCAATTAAACAAGTGGCAAAAGTCCTGAGCATTTTTCTAAAAAAGAGACACAAATGGCAAAGATGTACATGAAAAGAAGCTCAATACCCTTAACTACCAGGGAAATGCGAACTTTAACCCTCTAGGATGACCAAAATAAAGGAAATGGTTAGTAACTGTCAGCAAGGATGTGGAAAAATTGCAACTCCCATACAGTGCCTGTGGGAATGTAAATGGTGCAGATGCTTTGGAGAGCTTTGGAAATCCTCATAAGGTTAAAAAACAGTAATTGTAAGACCCAGCAATTTCATTCCTCCTTCGATAAGGAGGGAATTGAAAACATATGTCCATACAAAAACTTGGATACTAATGAAGGTTCATGGCAGCATTCGCTGAAGAACAAAGTAAAAAGTGAAAATCTGGGTGTCCATCATCTCTGATAAATGAGTAAGAAAGCTGTGACAGGCTCATGCAATGAAATGTTACTCAACCATGAAATTCTGGTCCATAGATGAATTTTGCAAACATTGTGCTAAATGAAACGTCAGTCACAAAGGACCATTTAACATCAAATGTTCAGAATAGACTAATTCAGGACTCTCTCTGGTGGCCCAAAGGGTTAAAGTCCAGGACTCTGAAGCTATCCACAGCGACTGTAGCACCAGTTCCATCCCTGATGGGAGGTGACCCACATGTTGTGGCAGACTTCTCCTGACCCACCTGCTGTCCCCTCAGCAGTGTATTTTGGTCAGTCTGCCTGTCTGCTCCCCACTCTGTCTCTGGTGAATCCTCTCAGCCCCCCCACCTCTGACCTGTACCCCAGTTCTTGTATGCATAAATAAATAAATCTTTTAAAAAATAAGCAAATTCATAGAAAAAGATTCGAGGTTGCCTAAGGTTGCAATGGTTGGGGAGACAGGGGAGAATGGCAGTTAAAAAGGTAAGGGTTCCTTGTTAGGGTGAATATGTTCTAAAACTGGTTGTTGTGGAGGGCACATGTGACTATGCATAGAATTGTAAAAAAAAAAAAAAAGTTTGATAATAGCAACCATCACAAGAGTCAATAGTCAAATTTAATCAACCTGATTTAATCAACCTGACTTCTGCGTTTGTCAGAAGTCCAAACTCATAACTAATAGCAAGTGGGAGTTGAATCTTGAATCATTAAGAACTCGGGAAAAACTAAACGAACCAAATATTCATGCAAAAAGAGTTGATTCTTGTCTGCCTGTACAGGAGACCTGTACTTGCAAGGAGCAATCTCCCTGAACAAAGCCAGAGCTGATTTTGCCTCAAGTTTTAGGAAGCCCAGTGAGTGTGACAGACTGCTGTCTAGCTGTGTTAGGGTGGTCCCTGACTTAGGCAGCTGAGAACCGACCTGCTGATAGGCTGTTGTCTAGAATCGAGGAGCTGTCAGTGATAGGCTGGCTTGGAGAAACTTCGGGTGGTCATCGACTTACTGACTAGCAGAAGCATAGTTACCGGAGTGAAGTTGCTGTTGACTGGCTGGTTTTCACCCACATAGCCACTCAAGTGAGGCTGTCGCTGATTGGCTGACTTTCAGGGCCCGTGGGCTGCTGTGGGTTATCTCTAAATAATGGACGTTATTTGTTCACTACTTGGAACTTAAGCCAAACCAAAAAATCCAAAACTTTTCCTTTCTTAAAAATGAAGAACGGGCCTTCCCTGGTGGCGCAGTGGGTTAAAGCACAGCACTAAGAAGCTTAAGCCACTTCGCATGAGTTCGATCCCAGCCCTGGAGGTGACCCACAGGGCAAGGCAGACCTCTCCTGACCTGCCCGCTGCTCCCCTCAGCAGTGTACTTCGTCTATCTGCCTGTTCTGCTCCCCACTATGTCCCTGGTGAATCCTCTCACCCTCCACATCTCTGGCCTGTACCCCAGTTCTGTATGAATAAGGAAATAAATAAATATTTTTAAAAAATGAAAACGAGTACTTTTCATTTATAGTCACTTCTTGTCTTCCTTCAGCTGAGCCTTCTATCTACTGTTGAGATTTTCCAGATCTTTACCGGACGTAGGATTTTCACCTCGTGCTTTGAGTTTACAGCCTTGGCTGTAATTTCTGAAAGGGGTGGTAAAACGATGCAGACAAGACGTTTAAGACCAACTGACAACGTCAGCTGAACAGGACGCAGGACAAAATCATCGAATACAGCCGGATACAAGATGCCAGGCTGCGCTAACGATGAGGAAATTTCCCCATTCACACGCGACAACGATGCGCTCCGTTCGATTACGATTCAGGTACCCCAGCCCATTGTGGTCGAACCACAATGGTAACAGTAAACAGCAGGGCTCCCCTGGGGCCCTGTGAACCCCAACACCCGTGTCCGGCACAGGGCTGGGCGCTCACTGCTAATCTTAGGCCAGCTAGGTTCGACTGGATGTTGGAAAGCGGGGTGATTAACCCCAGGTGAAATAGCAGCGGGGTACCCGCCCCAGGAGATCCAAAGCGGCGAACAGGATCCCGGGAAGTGCCCGGAGCCGGCCGGGCGGGGCGGGGCGGGGCGGGGCTGGTCGGAGCGAGGCCACGCCCCCAGGCGCGTCCGTGTGCGTGGCTGGGGGCGCCGCGGAGAATCTCACTCCGCGATGCGGCGCCTGAGGACCGGACAGAGCGGCGGCCTGGTAGTCCTCACCCCGCGGGTCGGCGCTTCCACCGCCAGGCCCCGCCGCCTCGCGACTTAAGAGCGCGCAGCCCCGCGGCTCTACTCGCGTTCTGCCCCCAGAACACTGCACATCCCGACGCCCCCACGCGTGCTCCTTGCGCGAGTCCGGCCCCGCCTACGACGTGCCCCCGCGCGCGGCGCCCCCCGCCCACCCGGCACGCCCAGCGGGCCTGGAGCCGCTCAGCGGGCTTGGAGCCGCCCGGCGGGCCCAAGCGACCCTCACGGTGGCACCGTTCTCCGCCGCTCGCCGCCATGGACGTGTACCCCCCGCACCGGCTGGGGCAGTCCCGCGCACGGTCTCCCGGCGGCCCCGGCCGCGGGGCGCCCTCTGTCAGGTACGGGGTGCCGAGGGCTCAGAGGTGCGGCAGGGCCGGGGGTGCGGGTTGTCGGGGTCCGGCGACGTCTTCCGCCGCTGGGCGTGGCCCGACATGGCGTCTTTTTCCCTGAACGGTTCCCTCAGGAACGTTTCTGCAGGAACGATGCCCTGTGGAGAGGTTCCCACAATGGCTTCCCTGCGAAGACCACCCCTACTCCAGAATGTTTTTCACCTGATTTCCCCTATAGAGAACCCCACAGTAGCTTCTCTGTGGATAACTAACCTGCCTTCCCTGTAAGAATGTTTCCCCAAAAGGGCTACCTATGGAAATTTGCCTCCCCCCAGCAGAGCTGCCCCCCTGCACAGACTCCCCAAATAGGTTTCCCTAGAAACGGCTCATCTGTAACGCCCCCTACATAGGTGGTCTCAGCTAGAACCTTTCCCTTGGCAATGACTTCTCTTTTTCTCCCCCCCCCCCCAGATCCCCCTGTCGTTCTCGGTCTTCTCGCACACACCCCAACCCCCAACCCTAACCCCCACCAACCGTGTCTTCCCGGTTGCACCTTCCCCACCTTCCTCTGCCCAAGCCTGCTTAGGCGCCCCTTTACTCCACACTGGGGAGCTCAGGTTATGAGGAAGATGTAAGTTGTTAGGGAAAATTAACTGGATGCATACAAAAGGAGGCCTAGAACCCCTGAAAGCAGTGCACCCCCTGACCCCTGATTCTAAAGACCGTCCAGTGTGCATCGGTAAGGGGAAGGTAATCTTGGGGGAGGTCCTCATCCGTTTCCGATATCGGAAGATCATTTCTGATTTTTTGTTCTGCGTGCCTTTGGGGCTGACCTTGATATTCTGGGCTTTGTTTGTGTTGCAGCTGGTATGGGGCAGCCAGTGCAGTGTGGTGGTTGGAATGATGGAGGAGTTGCGGCAGGGAGGGAGGAGAGGAATAAACTTTGGTACTGCTAAACTGTTAAGCCAGAAGAGGGTGTTTTGTTTGTTTTTGCATTTCTCTCTTATGACCCCATAGCAAGGCAAATATGGTATCTGTCCTTGAAAACAGGTTGTCAGTTTACATGAAGGGGCTTTTCGTACATCCTAGTTATGGCATTTAAGGTATTATATTGGAAACTTTTTGTTTGCACAGCCTCAGTTATTTTTGCTTTGTATTGTTTTAACTCCACCGTATTTCTGGAGAGCAAGAACTCTTAAGAGCCCTGTCCCTCTCTTCCTGTCATTTCTTATCTCCCCTCCACCCCTCCAGCAACTAGTGCATCTTTGTTGAGTGAATAAAGGATGGGGTGGAGTTAAATACCGAGGGTTGCGTTTGAGAATCCTCATTTGCTTCTAATTTGGCAGGTGATTCTGTCCGAAGCCCTGCACTGCCCTTCAGTGGAATTCACTGTACCCTTTACAGTTCCAAGAGTTTAGCAGCTTATGGTAACGTTTCTGGCAGTTAGAAAATATTGAACTTTATATAATATGAACAAAAACTGCACAGGATACTTTAGAATCTGGAGCAGCCATCCGTTAAATCTAGACACTGTGTAGAGTTGGGATTTATTCCAGATCATCTTGAGTTTAGGAATCTTTAATCTGAGATATTTAGAAAAAAAGAAAACACACACACACAACTTTTTCCCCCACTAAAATCTAAAAAAAATTACTCCCATGTTTGTAGTAGCATGAAAGTTTGCTGCTTTTTTCTTTTTTTTAGTAGTGTTTTTATGTTAAAGGTTAATGTTAACTGACTTTACTAACTGTACACTGATTCTTCATCTAAAGGTCTGAATGAAATTTGTTAGATTACAGACAAAGGGGAGTGGAAGGAATTCCAAGTCCTGGCTGTTCTGTACCTATGGTAAAAAAAAATTGGTGCAAATTCTCCTTTTCCTCACCTTTACAAAGCTGAGCAGGTTTTTCTCACCCATGCAAGTCTTCCCTGACTTCTGACATTGAACATTTCTAGCAGGATTATGTTCAGCACTTTCCAGTCATCCATATTTAGCTTCTTTGCTGTTTTCTCACTTCAGTGATGAAAGAGGCAGGCCTAACTAGTGAAGTTACATTCCTAAAGACCTATAGATAGTACTTGGCAGGCGTGTGTTCTCTCCTATCAGTGGGGTTACTTTCACAGATGGAAAATAGAGATAGGAGTTAGGACTGTTGCTCAGAACTAGAAGTTTCTTTTTATTGATCTGGTAGTGTTGGCACTGTCCATCACCTGTCTCTGGGTTCTGTGTCCAGAGCATGTGGTAGAGTTATACTTGCTTACCCCCTTGAAGTTGGCATGGAATTTTCCTTTTCAGTTGTTTTTGGTGAATGAAATGTACGCAAAAAAAAATGTGTATATTCTTTATAGTAAGAGCTTCTAGAGTGTCATTTCCCACTCTCTTTCCTTCTGTTGTGGTGACTGTGGTACTTCTGATGGTGGCTAGTCTATTAGTCTCGAACCTAGACCCGTCTTCCAGGTGACCTACTTTTGACATGTAGGATGAACAAGAAGTAAACCTTTGTTATTTCAAGTCACTGAGATTTTGGAACTACTACCAAGTAGGTAACTATGTGGACTTGCACTGAGGAAATGCAAGTGGAAATAACAAATGAAACTTGTGGAAATAGCTAAAGTATGCTTTCCTACTTTCCTTCTGCAGAGGAATCCATTCTTACTTGGGAGTTTAACAGTTAAATTTCACTGCCTCTTTATGCAAATAATGCAACATATACCATTGTTATGTTACAGATTCAGGATAAGTCAGACCCCCCCCTTCCCTGAGGAGCTCCTTTGTAAGTGAAGACAAAACAGTAAAAATTGTTATACAGAGTAGGAAGAAATAACTACTGAGGAAGAAATAGGGCTGAAGGAATAATGATGTAAGAGTATAATCAGCTTTGGGCTCACAAGCTAGAAGGGTGGAGTTTTTATTTACTGATACCAGGAATAATGGAAGAAGGACAGGTTTGTGGAGAAATAGAGCTCAATTTTGGCTGTGTTCATTTTGAGTTGCCTAATAGATATCTAAGAGGAGACACTGAATAGGCAGATAGGTTTGTTAGTCTGGAGCTCAAAAGAGAGATTAGGACTGGAAATGCCATCCATATGCTGATGATGCTCAGATTTTTTTTTTTTTTAAAGCAGTGAGACTAGTTAGTGATATAGGGAGTAAATGTAGACAGAGAAAAGGGGCAACATGTAACACACTAAGTAATTCAGCGTTTAGAGGTAAGGATGATGAGAAGATACAGGAAAAAAATGGAGATGTCTCTCAAATTCTGAGAAATCGTTTCTTGTCTTTGAGGTAAGAAGAATCAAGGACAATCTTGGAAAACCAAATGATGAATATTGTTCATGACTGAAGAAAACTAAGACTAGATTTGATACTATGGAAGTTGGGGGTGACCTTAACAACATTTTTGGTGCAGTAGTTCAAGAGAAGAGAGAAATTGGACAGTGAGTATAATCATAGTGATGTTTGAAGGGAGAGCTGACTATTAGCACTATGGCTAGAAGGGCACAAAGTATTAAGAGGGTGCTTGTTTTTAAGTGGACAGCTATTAAAGAACATATTTGTAAGTTATCGGAATAATGGAGTACAGAGAAGCAAACTGATTGAAGAGAAAGGACATTTGTAGCTGTGAAGTCCTTGGTATGTGAGCGTGAGTGGCATCTCGGACATAAATGGATGTGTTGGCTTCAGGTTAGATGCATGAGTGGATAGTTCCTCTGCAGTGGGTTATATGGGCCCAGACGCTGATGCTTTTTTTGGTTGGTGAAGAGTGGGGATGTGTTGGAAGTTTGAGGGGCAAGAAAAGGTGGGGTTTCATCCAGGAGTACAGAGGGCAAGGGAAGATTAAATAAGCCACCATGTCAGGATTGCCAGGCAGCGCCGAGTGCCCTTTTGGTGTGGTCGTGGAGACCCAGCTACCAGGCTGTGTGCTTTTCCCTCATCTGTGTTGTGCAGCTTGGAAGTCGGCACTGAGGGAGGGAGTGACCAAGGTAGGATGGAGGACAGCATTGCTGGAAAACAGGACTGAAGCATGGAGAGGAAGGAGAGTGGAAGGATTATCTCAGTGTGCATTGAATTAACATGAATTAAGGTGGAGTAGTTAAACCAAAAGAGACAGTGATGCAGAAACCAAAAATCTTTAGGGAATGGATAGGACTGAATGACTCATATCTGTAGTAACAGGAGGGATACTAGGCAGTTATTGTTTGGTAGCATGAAGAAATCATCCCCCCCCCAAAAAAAAAAACACAAATAAAAACAGCAGAAGATATGAATTTCCAGTAGGCAGTTATTGTTTGGTAGCATGAAGAAATCATCCTCCCCCTCCCCCCCCAAAAAAAAACACAAACAAAAACAGCAGAAGATATGAATTTCCAGATTAAAAGGACTCTCCAAGACAATTGTGCCATGATACAATATCATGAAATTTTCTAGGACTATGAATAGGCAAAAGAATTTATCAACAAATCACATAAATAGGGTCGAGAATCATGATTGGAAATTAAAAGAAATGGAGCAAGCAGTACCTTCTGAAAGAAAATAGATTCCAACTCAGATTTCTGTGTCCATCCTAACTGTCAGGCAGGTGTGAGGGAAGGAAAAATTCATCTTAAACATCTTAAAGTTTGAGTTTCCACGCACTGCCTGTTATGAAGGCACTGGCCCTCCCTGGTCGTGCAGTGGGTTAAAGCACTGCACTGAGAAGCTTAAGCCATTTCCACAATGAGTTCGATCCCACTGCCCTGGAGGTGACCACATGGCGCGGCAGACCTCTCCTGACCTGACCGCTGCTCCCCTCAACAGTGTACTTCGTCCATCTGCCTGTTCTGCTCCCCGCTCTGTCTCTGGTGAATCCTCTCACCCTCCGCATCTCTGGCCTGTAACCCAGTTCTATATGAATGAATAAATAAATCTTTAAAAAAAAAAAAAAGGCACTGGCGGGTGAGTTCTAACAAAATAAACTGATTAAGGGGTTCTTGTGCTGGGGTTCCCTGACTCCAGGCACAGGTGAGAT